CATATTCAAACTTAGTAAATATGGTTTATTTAAGCCACAGCCTACATTTTTGGGCAGTGAATGAATTTCAAGCTATGGCAGGTGGCAATTAGTGGGATAGAAATATGTAGATGAAAAGTCGGGGAAAACTGAAGGTGACCTTTCAGACAATCTGGTAAAAGCCCTTCGTTAGGCTAAGTGGCAGGGACATAAAACCTTTTTGCGTCGCTTCCCACATTAATTGCATTCATCGCCCCGCCCTTTGGGGATGCAGCAATTTGCATAAAAATCATAATAAATTCAATGATGCTTATTTTGCAAGAAACCCTCTCGCTTCGCACATTTTCTCCAGCGTTTTCAGTCCTTTATTCCGCCGTGAGAGAGTTGCTCATAAAAAGGCTGGCGGCCCAAAGAGGTTGCCACTTAGGCACCGCTCAATTATTCATAAAGTTCGCCCAACAAAGTACTGCTCATACGTGGCCCAAAAGCGAGGGCTTAATGGTCAGAAACCGAGCTCCAGGGGGGCAAAGGGCCTTCAAAAATTAAATCGTTTAACAAGCAGTCAAATCTCTTTATATGGCTTCATCAGGTGGAGCCAAACACACCAATTTCCGGCTGCCATCCATCTTTACTGCCTTTATGGTCGTAAAATATTATGAACTGTCTTCAGCTGTCACAATAATTTAATTTATGAAAGCCTGGGCTCGAGCTGAGTGACGCACATTATATACCAAACTAGTCAAATATTTAGATATCATATTACCTAAACCAAACTATAAATTACCAAATGGGCAGAAGTGCTTATTGTGCGGGGCAAAAACAAATAAATTCAGCTGGAATAAAAGCACCAAAAAGCTGCGCTGAAAATAAAAGCACTAGAAATGCATAAATTGTATTTTTTCTTGATTTTATATATATAGTCAAAGAAATAAATAAATATCTTAATTATTTGTGTTTTATCAACCATTGCTCATTATATTTTTTACGTGCAAAAATATGTTGTTAGCTATTATATTATTAGATTTATATATAAAACTTTATTTAAAGAAATATAAAGGAACCAAAGAATTTTTTTAAGTAATCCTACAGTATGGAAACATTTTCATATTGTTTAAGCTACTATTGTGTCCGTGATTGTACACGGTGACATTTTGAATAGTTGCCTGGCATTAAAAGGCAATTTTCTCCGGCAGAAACAAACAATAAACCGAACAAAAATTACACGAGACAAAAAACCCATCAGACAAACATTCCGTAATTCGAATCGAATTCAATTCCGGCACAGGGCGACCGAAGGGAAGGGAAAACTGCAGAAATTTGGCATGTGCTTAGGCGAGAGTGAAAACAATTTGGCAGTGGCAGCACGTGCGCATGTGATTTGCATCTGTGTGAGTGTGTGAGTGTGTTTGTGTCAGGGTGTGTGTTGGCCAAAAGGACAGCCATTTTGGACAGTCAGTCAGCTGTGGCCCCCTCTCCTTCTAGTGCTTGCTGCTCCTGCTGCTGTGTAACTTTATAGCACCTCAATGTTTGTTGCCACTTTGCCACACAATAAAAATGCTACATCTATCCCTCTTGGCCCGAATAAAGAGCGCTGTCCAATGTAGGCCAAAACTTCATCGTTCGTTTGCTCCTTCTGCGGCGTCTTAATGGGTTTGTTGCAGCCACATGTCCAAGCCATTTATCCTCAGTTAAATGACAGCAAATTAAGTGCCCGTCGCCAAAGTTTTGCCTTCTTTTATTGTATATTAATAATAATGACGCCCTCCAAAAATAAGTAAATTCGCCCATTAATTTTTATTTCGCAAGGCCAGCTGCTGGCTGTTTCTTATCGAAAATGAATAAACATCAGAAGCTTACCAGCTGCCGCTGTATTTATTCGTTTCAAATTTATTTTAACGAAGTTTATTTATCAGGTTTTCCGAAGATTAGAATAATGATTAAAGGTTATGGGCTAATAAAACTGAAAGTTTATTTGTGTGTCGGGAAGTCTTCCACATGCTCATGAACATGTTTTCAAATGTCGTTGGCAACCCTTCAATAAGCCCACATTTAATAAGCCCACATAAATAATTTCATCCTCACCAAACACACAGAAGTCACCACAAAAGACCAATTGAAATATTTCGTATAGATATGCACACGCCCCTAACTAAATTATTAACATGTGAATAAGTTTACAAAGCTGTTATGGGTGGCAAATTGTAAAGCAGCAGAAGATATGCACAGCAACAAAATATAAAATACGGCAAAAAAAGAGGTCGCTTGAGTTGAATGGGGATAAGCCAAACATCTGATTTTCTATAAGGGCGGAGGTGGCAGAATCTTCCTTGCCTGCTTGATTTTTTGTTGTTAGAAAATCTGGAAAAAGAGGCTGGCAAATGTCAAATATTTGCTGAGCTGTGACTAATGTTGATTCTTTTTTTTGGCTCTTGGCTCCTTTGCATAACATCTCAGCTGTGGGCCAGCAGCAATTCACCTGTGAATAAATGCCAAACAACAAAAAAAAAGAAAAAGCGCAAGGAAAACTCATTTTCCGCCTGCTTGACAAAAATATATATGTACATATATGTATTTCCTTTTGCTTGGGAAATTAATTAAATTGATTGAACGTTAAACAATTTGTCCGAGCCATAAAACAGAGCCCCAACAATAAAACCAAAAGGAAGTCAAGTCAAACATCCCCACAATTCCCCTTAATTTCCCAAGTGCACTTTGCAGTCGGGGTTTCGAGCAAAACATTGCCAGGAAGTGGCACTAGGGGTATCGAAAAGGAGTGTAATACCAGTAAATGTTCCATGTACGATGGCCGGTCACGTTGTGTCAATAGACGTTCGAACTGCACTTCGATGCCAAATTGTTGCAATTGTTTTAACAATTGGCTGCATTACCCAAGCCCCTCGATGCCTCGGTAATACCCCTCTGACCATCTGCCACCCCCGGACTCTATAGAGAAAGTTTTTCGAACTTTGGCACTGCTTATTGATGGCCAAAGGAACAAGAGGGCAAAAACCAATAATTGTAAACAATGCCATTAAATGACAAGGAGCTTTCTGCTCATTTAGGCACTATACAAAAATGGCACAGAGATACGAAACTTTATAATGTAATTGGATTATTTTGTATTCAGTCTCGATAATTTAAACAACATTTGAACATTTACTTGTAGGAAACTTGTTAAGGCTATAGATTTAATAAAACTTCCTAAATTTACTGAGAAGTTTGCAACATTGAAGATGTAAAATTGCAATAAAATGTAGATAATAGGTAAAAGGATTTCGTGCCGATGCTTTTCCAAGTTTTTGCCTTTGAAGCAACAATAATTCCTTCACAATACACAACAACTTGTAGCGTTAGGATGAAAGCTTTATAATAAATAATAAATTTAAAATAAATAATAATGGACTGTCATGAAAACACATCTTGTAAGACTCATTGCTTCTAAAAGATTAGTTGGCCAAGAGTTTGTTCAATATTTGTTTGCCCATTATAGCTCAGAATGAAATAAGGGGAGCGAAAAAATAAAATGTGAAAAATCATCAAACAGATTTCAATTTTTAAGTTGCCCCCTTAACTTTGCCCCATCTGATTGCTTCCGGTATTGATAATGCCGTTGCCTTTGTTGTTGCTTTTGAAATTCAATTTTGAGGAAAATTGTATGTGTCCAAGCTGCCTACACGTATTTTCTCAAACGTTTTTCAATTTATTTCGTCTGCCAAAATAATGAAGCAGGCAAACGACCTTACAACAGGCAGCTGTCCTGCCAAACTCAAATCAAGCCGACAAATGAGTCTAAGCACAGATGAAAAACAAGCTGGCCAAATGCCGGCCGAAGAAAAAGGTCAAAAAGGTACAAAAACCAACTTAAAGCTGCATAGGTCTTCGAAAAGCCCCCTCCACAATCGCCCCCGCCCCCTTATCTGAACTGCCCCTTATCAATGGCAATGGAATATCGAATTCTTCCCCTCTTCTCTCAACGAACAAGGACCTTTTATGCCCGTGCACGTCGATGATTATGATGATGGAGCGAGCAGAAAAAAGAAGAGGGCTCGATTATTGATTAAAGTTGGTTGTCTGCGTTTGGACCGCTCAAATGCCCTGATTAAACGTGATTGAATTGTTTACGGTCATGTTGCGAATCTTGTGACCGACGGGTCACAGCAACGACAAATAGCGCCATCTAGTCATCGTTTTCAGAGGGTATTAGTTAATTTAAAAACCCACAGTTCAGTAACCAAATAGTTGAGTAATATCGAAATAAATAAATCGAGTGAAAGATTTTATCAGTTGTGGTTAGAAAAAATAGGATTGATAAGAGTTATTTGATATCAAAACATTTGCTTAACAAAATAGTGCTCAATAAGCTTAGAAAAACTGTGATTCGAGTGATCGAATGCAATACCGAGTAATTTGATGCCTTTTTAAATCCTTTTTGATAATATGTATACCTCTTTTTGGCTAATGGTGAGTTTACAGGTTCAGCTTACATTGAATTCGAATTTTACTGCAATATCTCACTACATCCGAGTATCTTTTATGTGGTATATTCTTACATTTCACAAATCTCTTAAACCTTAAAAGACCAACCATGTCTTTGTACCTACCTAATCCACAAATGCAACCCACACGCAATTTTCCATTGTCGGCTGCCAAGAGGACATCCCCTTCGTGTCCTTCGTGTGCTTCGCATCCCTCCGTTCTTTAATTGCCTGAGCATTTAATTTGTTTCACTTTAACAAACAAGGCAGCTGAGCACTAGCGTTCGTGTTTAGATTTTCCTTTGCAGCCCACAGAGACAAAAGGTGACTGTGAATGGTGGAATGGTTGGGATGGTTGGATCAGAGACTGAACAACAGAGTAAACACAATGGAAATCATGGGTTGGGACAGCACAGAGTTATGTTTATAGAGTTGCCAGGGGTCGGAGTCGGAACCTCCTAGTTGTTCATTTCTAGCTATTCAGTGCGAGTAACACGGCAGAACATCTTCAGTCTAACATTGAACTTATCCCATTATTTTTTGCAGATCTCCAGCAATTTTCTGCCATCTTTGGAAGCAATTTCCCTGGCCGTGCAAAGCATTTCCACCAAGTTGAACTGGTCGCAGGTTGATATCTATGTCGGCGGTAAGTTAATCACGTTTTGTGTCTAAGCTTTACTATTGTTTGTTTTACACACACAATTTAAAATCTGAAAAATGCACTTTTTGTCGTCTGTTTTTAGATTCCAAATCATTAAAATTAAAGTTTTAAAACTTTATATAATTAGTACCACTCTTTTTAAGCTCTAATGACCTCCGCTAGAAGTTAATTACTTGCCCCAAGCTACTCCCACTACTTTGAATAATGTGGCTGGCCCAATTATAAGCCCACATTTGGGAGAGAAGCTAACAACCCTACCTAGATCTCCTTTCATCACATCCGATGCCAGGGTCGATTATTCCCAATCCCCATTTTATGGTTAAGGGCAAGAGCTGGTTGCCTAAATGTTAAATAAACACATTTGCCGAAGGAGCTGGGTGAGCGGTGGCTGTGGGCGTGGCAGTGGCGGGAGTCGCGCCCACGTAATGTTAAATTATGGGGTCATCAGGAATTAAGAGGGGGTGCGAGGATAAATGTGCGGCGGAGGGAAGCTGCTTGTAGCCAACTGGAAGTACACGTGTGCGTATACGCAATGCAATTAGTGGTGACATTATTATGATTAACGCTGCCCCTGTGTTAGTGTGTAAGTGCGGCTGGCTATCGGTGTGTGTGTGGGTGTGTGTCTGCTTGCTGAGTGTTTGCACAAACGCTGACAGGCACAGAAAGATAGCGAACTACTGTGGATATAGGGGGAATAAAGGGGTCCAAGGAGGACAAACAGAGCACCATTAAGTTGACACTGCTGCATTTGGAATTTAATTAGGTGGCCGCGCTAATCAGGCGAACTACCAGCCACTGACGTCCTGTTTAAATACCTCGCATGTTGCCAATTAGTTTAACTGACAATCAAACACAGCCGTTTAGCAAGCCACCGGCGGCAATCAATTAAAGATTAAGCGAAAGATAAAGCTAATTAAAGGTTTATTTTGTTGAAAACAGGTATTTCGATTTGTCATATCATTTTAAGATGTTCTTCTTTTCATTGTTGTTTCTATATACATACATATGTGTGATTACAACATCAAAAGTGTAAAATAAAATGAATACCTAACCTCTTGTTATGTACACACAGTTCAAGCTTGACAAAATTGTGCAAATCGGACAAACAATATAGGAAACCACCAGGATTTTATTGACACAAGTCTTAAATCGACTTTCAGGTATAGCAAAGGTTTAGAGATTTTAAGTGTTAGGTTCATTCCTGTCTATTCTGGGCAGTTCTCTTACTCTTACAACTTAAGTGCCAACAATTTCTTAGCTGACCAAGTTTGTTGACCTCTCTCCAACTCTGCACTTAGTTGTGGCAAAACAAATCCGAAGAAAGTAAAAAGTGCAAATTATGTGACAGCAGCTGAGCAAAGGAGAAATGGCATAAAAACAAAGTTATAAAATAAAAGCGAACACAAACCACAGAGACTAAGAGGCAAAAATGTAAATCCTCAGCACTCGGAAACATCACCCAAATACAGATGTCATAGATGGTATGGGAACAAAGGATATCTCGACGAAACGAAATAATGCTGTAGAATCAAACGACAGCTAATAAAATCAGACAGCCAAACAGTCTGACGGCCCTTAAAGTTGCCCGACGTAACCATGAAATTTTGCCAAAAAATAAGAAAACTTGAAATGTTCTCCAAGTTTAACTCTGGTTAGTCATCATTATTGCCATATATGTACCTACATCTGAGTTATTTTTCTCATTAATACTATTAAAGTTAATAACGATTATTACACTAAATCAAAATTCCGGCTTGAAACCGTTTGTACACTTGTTTTCGCTGAAATCACCTACCTAATCAAATTTTTTAAATCACCAAGCCTAAGATATTTACAAAAAATATACGTTTGTCGGTTTGTATTGTAAGACAAAAATGTCTTCTTCGACTATTAAATACCCGTTACTCTAACAAATTTCAAACCAAAATATTGCCCCACAAAAGATTTGTGGTTTAGGTGGCGCCATCTGTCGAACTGCATTGCCAGCACTAGAAACCCACCCCTCACTTAAAGTTTTTTAACTCTGTCTCTCTCTACCTGTTTAGATGTTAGTAAGTTATTAAGTCCTCTGTTGCCGCTGCTCTGCCGGCAAAAAAACACTATCCTCTGCTCATTATTTAGGGCTGAGGTGATCGCTGATGTAGAGAGACAGAGTGAAATAACTGTTAGCGGGGGATAAGTGACCTGCACGCTTTTAGCTTCTGATATTAGCAATGGAGTTCGACAGTTTGCGTGGGAATGTTTAGTTTGAAATATGTTAGCTGAGAAACTGTTCACAACTTCGTTGTGAAATATATACGCATTTACGTCGAGATAAGTATTATATATTCACGACTTTAACATATAGCTGTTATAGGAAAGATCCCAAAACAAAACTTTGTCGTTTGGCAATATTTAAGCATATAATTCAAGTCGTATTATACGATATAAATTACACATTTAAATTTTTTTTTAATCAAAGATATATATTATAGAACTGCAAATTTCAAAAAGTATAATGATCATTATTATTTTTAATGTGTTCAAACTTTTCCGTTAATATAAATTTAAACATATATTTTTGTTTTAATTTGCATATAATATATATAATCAATATAAGTTTTCTTGAGCAAATTGAACAGAGTTTCCCGTTCATACAGCAAAATCAGACTATCACCACTTTGTTTTTGCAAATAGGGCGTGCGTATAAACTTAATATAAAACGCTCACACACATCAAGTAATTTTGGTATCTATAGGACGTGACCTAGTCAGGTTAACATCTAGGCAGCCATTCAAGGAGGTGAATGCCAGATGGGAACTTCAGTACCCGAGGTCTGAGGTCCTTGCAGGACACTGAGATGGGAAAACAGAAGAGGGAAAGAAAATCCCCACGCACTTCCTTTGATTTATACCCATACGAGTCCTACTGGGACCAGAAACATTTTTATGAATAATGCTGCAACATCTTTGTCTATAAATAGGCCATAAACCGAGGATGCTGCCTGTAGACATTAATCTCAAGTGTTTAACAATTAACGTGATGGGCCGGGATGGCCGGACATTTGGGCAACGCCCATCAACTTTTGGGCGGCATTCGGTTTTACGACGGCATAATTAGCGGGAGCTGCTGTCCGCCTTTTTATGATTTGTTTTACCCTAAGTGACAGCTAATGGAGTCGAAGTCCATAAAAAGGTGACCCGCAGCAAGGCCATATGCCGGCGATTTATTGGGCCAGTTTTCGCGCTGATTGCTTTGACTTTCTCTTTGACTTTGGGCAGAAAGCGAATGGAAACTTGCAATTTCCATTTCAAGTTATCTTTATCGTCATCTTTGTGCTCTCGGCAAAAACAAACTGATGACGAAGACGATGACAACACCATGGATCCAATCAATGTACTGTGCCGAACACTGCGCGAAGTTTTCTGCTCGAAGATTGTATCGACTGCATTATGTAAATTGTGTGAGCGAACAAAAGCAATTTGCAACTTTAATTGCATTTCGATGGACGGCAGCAACTTTTCCACCCGCCACACCCCATCCAACAATGAAAACTGCCAAGAGTACAGCTGCCAAGTATGTTATAAGTTTTTCCTCCGCCACAAAAACCCTCGCACGAATGTTAACTTAATTATGATCAAGTTTATGCGGTCTGACGTTGTGCTGATAACACTCGAAAATTCACAATTAAATATAAAGTATGTGTGGCATATCTTTCGGGCAGGCGTGCTGAGTAAATGATGGCTTCATTTTTAATGACCCCCATGCCGAGTAAATGTGTGAATATTTAAAGTAATTTCAGCCGAAAGTTTTGGTTGCTTTGGGTTAACTTGATTGCCCTTTGATGGAACACGTGTGCTGGGCCATCTTTGAACTAAGAGTTACTTTTGATGGGCGTACAAGTATATGATGATCATTTAATAGCCGGGCTAGGGTCAACGTGGTGTGCAAAGTGAGATCCACAGCCAACTCTCGGCTTGCGGCAACTCTAGCAGTTGAAGTGTTGACAGCATCCCCATGGCGAACGCCTATGCAAATGACATAACGTATACGCCACGTGCGGTGTGAGATGATTGCGTTTTTGGGGAACGGGAAGAGGCGTTGCGAAGCTTAGACAAATAAATGTGGTTTCAGTAGGCACCCACAACCTGCTACATTTGATCCTCCTATCTTTTATGGCTCTGGCCAATTTATTTACCCGCCCGCCATTTAAATGTGCTTCTGCGTATTTTCAAACAACATTTTTGGTTTCCTCTATTCCGTTTTTTTGGCGGCAACAAATGAAAAATAAACAAAAAACAAGAGAAAATAGCATTCCAGCTAACCCTAACTGAGACTAAAAGCGCAGCACGTTGCATTTATTTTATTTAGCCACCTGAAATTTGATGTTTCGCAAGGACGCAAGTGGCGGTGTGGCTTCTGTATATTTTAAAATTTGCAATGCAGTTTTCTCTTCTAGTTGTTTCTTTGGGTGGTGCATTTTTGTGTGCTGCTTTTTGTACCACTGCACCACTGTTGGTGAGTTGATTGTAAATAACAACGCTTGACTGACCAAACTCGCTGGCTAACCCACACAAACAGATGCCAGTGCACTCGGATGCGCTCTATATACTTATTTTGCGCAGCTGAGGTCAAAATAATATAAGAGACACCCAAAAAATTAAATAATAAACATTGCGCTTTTATTATTTATAAGTTTATGTTGGCTTAAGTTTGGCAAGTAGAACCTACCATTCGTTTAAGTTTAAGCAAAAGGGAATTAAAATATATTTGGTTAAGAAACTAAATACCAAGCCCTTACTATCGGTGGAGTCACATTTAATAAACTTCTACGGAAACTCGTTCAATCCCGATCAGTTTTCCGGAACCTTTTTCTGTCTTTTGACGACAATTGTGTCTTAAAGCTTATTTTTTATACCCATGCAGAGGGTTTTATAATTACATTTTATTTTTGTTCCAGCCATATATATTTATTTTAGATCAGCATCACGAGGAGAGTCGATCTACCCATATATGTTTGTTCGTCAGTCTGTCCGCAAGCTAGTCTTTCAGTTTTAAGGGGGGGAGTAGGGTTTTAAATTTTTTTTTTTTAATTTTTTTCTATTTTTTTCCGAATTATCAATATGTTTTGAATATTCTGTACAAATTTCAAATCAAGCCGAGTAACGCTAACGGAGTTACAGCGTTTCAAAGAACCGGCCGTCACAGTACCTTAAATAATAATTAAATAAATATAGTATTTAATAAATAATAATTAAATAAATAACTAAAATATCTTTATAGGTTTATAAGTGTTCATTATGCTGACCACAGCTGTTTGAGAAAATCTCACATACACCAGCAGCTCCGAGTGAACGCGCCGCAATTTAAATTTTGAGTCAAGCGCATGAATATTAAAATGCATAAAATGAAAAAGCACAAATGCAAATATGAGCAAGAAGAGCACTCATCTGCGTTCGTATGAGAGTGCCTTGTGTATTTCGCAGTACGTGAATGTGAATGTGAATGTGAATGTGAATGCAGCAGACAGTTCGCGTTAAGTATGCGCTTTTCCCATAGTGACATACCTATGATGTGAACGTGAGTTTGCTCAAAACCTTGGCATTGGGGCCCAGTTGCCAGTTAATACCCAAATCCGTATGATGAGGAGCACTTGCCATTGCCTGGAAACTGAATTGAAACAAATAAGAAATTGTATTTTCCTCTACGCTTTTAAAGTTGAAGCGAACAGCTGCAGCTGTTTATCACACAGACACACGCAAATCGGTTATCTTTGCGCTGCAGTTATGACATTTTGTTATTGTTCGTGGAGAACTATGCAAATTGCCTGAAAATTCAACCACACAACTTTGTCTTGAATGCGGCAGTGCCAGGGCTTCAAAGAAAAAGAAAATCCCAGCCGAAGTGCATATGGCTGAGGCTCACGATGAGGCATGGCAGGATGTCGTCTGCGTCCTCGTCTTCGTCCTTCCACTTTCTGCTGCGCTGCGTAATTGCACAATTTTGCACTTGGGCAAACATGAACTTGCCAATCGCAGGCGAAGGAACTCCGGACCACGCTCCCATCTTGGCATGAAAGTTGCGACTCACACTTTGAAAAACTGTTACAAGCTTTTAACAAATTCTTTTCTCCATAACTAACTACTTAGTCTAAAGGACGGTAGGGTTTTCGAGGGAAAAAAGCGCATATTTTTATGCAATTTTTTGCGGCGTAACCTATAATACCATTTTTTTAAGTTTAATTACATATTTTTATACAATTTTTGAAGAATATTAGAAATAAATTGTAAAGAAAAATAATAATAAATAAGCCGGTAATCGTGAACCTTCGAGGTAAAGACGAAGAGTTTTTTTCTATTTTTTTTACCACATTGAAGTGAAAGACGAGATTTTATCTACAAAAATCGAGCTTTACTTATTATTAAAAAAAGTAGAAAAAAAAAACTCTTCGTCATTTCATGCTGATTTATGAGGAGAAGGTAACCCCTTAAAAGAAGGTTGATCTGCAAAAGAGATGACTGCTTTTTAATTTATATTGCATGTACATATTTCTGTTTCAAAAATCGAACACACCATAATTAAATTTTGATAATAATTCACTAACGCGCATCGTTATGCAAATATTCAAATAATGTTTTAACGATGTTTGTTAGGCTTACTACTTCAAAGAAAACACCATCGAAACATACGAGACGTGTGTTTGGTTTTTCTCCCATTTGGGAAATTATAATTATAATTATAATTGCCACAACAGATGGAAGTCAAGTTAACACACACCCATATATGGTGTAGAATAAGCTAATTGTAAGAAGGCTTTTAAGATACTAAAATTACCAAATGACTAAAGTCATTGCTAATTAACCAGTACTCATGGCTTGGGGATTAAGAACTATTATTTTATTTAATGGTTAAAGTAATAAATAAGAGTAATATATAAAAGTGTTACAATTTTGTAGTTTACTGAATAAAATATATATTTTATTGATCAATTTGACCAAGAGATGGTTTTGTGTGTAGTCGGGAAACTTGTCAAACGGGTTCTTTGATTTTTTTTGCAAAATTTGTAAACAATTTACTACTTCAAGTTACCTACATTTTTCCTACTATAGTATATAAGAACATATAAGAACTTTTTTTTTAAATCACATATTTAAGTTTTATTTTAATACTTTCGTGGTATTAAAGCTCATCTTTCTGAGAATGGTTTAACATCCATTAGTTTAAAATTTACTTTAATTTCTATGACAATTGTTTTTATTTCATAAAATAATTTAAACATTTAAGATAGTAATTATAAATTAATTTGATGGACTGGTCCGGTATGATAAATTTACTAGGGTATTTCACCTTCGGAGTTTAAAGAAGGCTCTCCTGTCTTACTTAGTTTCATTTCCACCTCTCATCCCCAATGAAGATGTGCTGCTCCTTTTAAACGAAGTTTTGGCAGGTTTTCCAGCTTACATTTCAGTTAATTAGCGTGTTGTCAGCTGCACTGCTAATTGAGTTGATAGAGGGGCAGAAGGTAAGGAAACGAAATGATAAAGCTGGCAATTCACCTAAATCTAAATATTTATAAAAGACGTTTCACTTAAGTCCTAATTTAATGTACGGTGCGCAGTGATGCTGCAAATTTTGTTAAATGCTTTTGACAAGACTGCTTAAATGCACTATCTCAAAACAGCCCTGAAAATGAAAGGTTTAACATGCTATCTAGACACTTTTGTTCCACGTTTTGCCATATTTTCATGTGTTTTTGGGTTATAAATTAAGACGAATTATGCACATTGGCATGACAATGCACTCCATGGACCTTGCATTGGCTCTTATGATCTATGACCCATTTATCCGGGGATATATGTCAGTTCAATGGCGTCTAAAGGACAATGGAGGTGTTGGTTGGATGTGTTTTTGCCCTTTTAGAGGCTCATTTCTTGGTTAGATTTTTAATGTAAACGTAAAAACCCAATTACACCCGAACTTCCAAAGAAACATCAAAGTTATATTATAGTTATAGTTATAGTTATAGTTATAGTTATAGTTATAGTTATAGTTATAGTTATAGTTAGTGAATCAGCTACTCTCTTATAGAACATAAACAATTTTAAAAATTATTATACTTAGCTGTATTTTGATTTAAAGATATGTTTTTTGTTGATTATTTACACCAAATTATTTAAAAAGGAAAAAGTAGGATGAGAATATCAAGAATTGTTTTTTATTAATACATAAGCCAAGCACCTGAATATATGGCTTTATCTTTGAATTAAACTGATCAGTAATCCAAATAAATTTAAAATGTATTGAATCTAAGTAGGGATAAATTTAGTTTTGAATTAAAAAAAAACAAATCTACTATATTCATATTGAAAAAACCTTATAAATATGTTAATGATTACATTATCATGTTTATAGTTTTTTTTTTAAATTTTTTGAAAAACAATGTGACATTCAAATGTTTTAATGTTTAAAAGTATGGGGTTTTTTCTCTGGGTATAGTTCCCGAAATCTCATTGTTTATACTGACAGGAAGGATGGTCTTATCAAGTCTTTTACATTATAGGGTCAAAAACGGTTCTGTAGACCTTTTAAATACTTTTTAACACGCCATTGCAAGTAAGAAGTGCATATTGTTACTCTTCAATTTTCAAAACAATTTAACAAAATAATTTCCAAGCATGCCTTCAAATCGTCTTTCGACCTTCCTGTCAATATTTCCTGGAGCAGAATCCACATACACTTTGAAATTACTAGAGCATTTTCACACCTCCCTTGTACATTTTTTGTTAATTCATTTCGATAACCCCGCCACAATGCAGAACTCCGGTCGCGGAGCGGACCACTTCAACTTCATCACGCGGACGGACCGCAAGAGCCTGCACACGCAGATCGGACTGCTGGTGGCCAAGGCGAAGCAGGTGACTGCGTCGGAGCTGCAGGAGCGCAGCAGGCGGCTGAAGAGCATGCTGGACGCGGAGGACAAGCGCTACGAGGAGGAGTTCTCGAACACCGTGAAGAACCGCATCGACCAGGACATCAAGGAGCGGAAGGAGCACCTGCACGCCATCAAGGAGCAGGTGGCCAAACAGCAGAAGCAGTTCCTCGAGGAGAAGCACATCCAGCAGGTGATGCTCGACTGCTACGAGATACGCGAGGCATTGCGGCAACGGGACCTCGTGGAGACGAAGATTGTCCAGGAGGAGCAGATACTGGAGAACCAGCGGAGGAAGCGGCGCGAGTGCCAGCAAGAGCAGCAATGGCTGGAGCTGAATCGCCGCCGATGGGCCCAGTTCGACTGCAACCAGGCGGAGGAGAACCGGAGGCGCCACCAGATGCAGCAGCAGGTGAATCACGTCCTGGCCGTCCAAGTGGCCGAACACGAGGAGCGGCGCAAGGAGGAGGAGGCGGAGAAGAACGAGGAAGAGCGGGTCCTCAACGCCCTGCTGGAGGAGATCCGCCTGGAGGAGTTCGATAAGGAGCACCAGCCCGCTCCAGTGGACCAGTTGGCCTACCAGGCCGAGCTGCTCAAGGAGATCGAGCGCAAGAGGTGCGCCCGCCTGGCCGAGTGGGAGGCTGACAAGGCCGAGCACATAGCCTTCTGCCGCGAAACGGCGCGACTGGAGGAGGAGGCTCGGGCCAGGATAGCTCAGTCCAAGAAGGAACTCAACCGAGCCACTTTGGAGTACCTGGCCTATCTGCGGCGCATGCAATCCCTCGAACTGGGCATCGGCAAGATGATGGACGAGCGCATCGCCGATCTCTACCAGCTGGACATGTGCACCAAGGTCAGCATCTCGGAACGAGTGCGAGTGAAACGGGAGGCGGCGGAGAAGTGCTACGAGATCCTCCGCAAACAGGTCTGCGAGGACTACGAGCGCAGAATTCGCGCTGACGCAGAGCTCCGGGAGAACAAAATGTTGGAGAACCGATTTGTTCATCCGGAGGTCACTCATCAAATGATCGTGTGCCGACAGATCCGCTACAAGGCGGATTTGGATGCACAGATCAAGGAGATGAAGCGCATCCAGGCGGAGGAGGACAAGCGGTTCGAGAGTCGCCTGATGGCCGCTGTTGACAATCCCGACGTCTGCCGCCGATTGGCCAAGGAGATCCTGGAAAAGGGCATCGACTATCTGGCTCCGCATCCCAACTGGCGGGTGATGGCCTGTAATCCCAACAAATACGTACCCAAACCTCCGACCACCCAGGAGGAGTTCAGTGCCAGGATGGCTCAGGCCAGTGTGGACAAGTGTCCCTGTCCCAGGGAAGCCCGAAAGCACTGCGGCTTCATGGCCGAAGTGGGTAGGCTGGATGTGCCGCCCGAAGGGGCTAAGTCCCCTGTGGAGAAGCCTGTGGTCGAACCGGTCCTTAAACCACTTAAACCTGGACTCACAGGCTGCCGCTGCAAATTCTATTAGTTCTGTTAGTAGGAATTATACTAAAAGCGATTTTAAATTGTGTTAAGAGTTACAACCTTGAGGCTATTTAAATGCAATAAATGTATTTCTGCCAGACTCTGAATAGTTGAACTACCGTTGTTAAGGCGATGTATGCTTTGCTACTACTATTTGCTTAGGACTTAGCAAGCAACACAATTAAATTAACCATTTTTCATTTAATTAAATTCAATTCGGCAAACAGAAGCCTTACAGTCATAACAAAACTTGAGTTTATTTTTGCCAGATCGTTCCAATAACATTAAAAGGTATATTCGTCCCATTTCAAAGATGTTCACTTTTAAGCCAAGAAGAAAGGCTTAAAGTCGAGTGACAGCTTATCAATATCAAAATAAATATGGCCCAAAATGCATGCTCATTACTACAAGCTAAGAGAATTTTCGAATATCCAAAAATGTATATTAAAAGAGAGTCGATAGACATTGACCGAACAAAAATACATTGATAGATCGTCTCGGCTATTGATCCTGATCAGGAACTTACATACTTTATAGTCTAAGAGGGCTCAAGTACTGTTACTATTGTTACTTTTCCCAGTTATGAGGTACTAATACTCCAAATCCAATGCTTCAAAAAAATTCGAAACATTAGAACACAATAGAAATGATGTTGCCCACGGTGTTGAATCGTGCCTATGTTCTTAATATGCTTTTCAATAAAAGACATTCCGTTGTGAGTACATAAAAATGTTCGAATCGTCTCGAAGCATTCGAGTTAATGAAAATATTTCGAAACGTTTCAGTTATGTGTTTCGAAACATTGAAACAATGAGTCATCGAATCACCGAAACATATGAAACATACTCTGTCTAGGTATTGCACCCGTTGTTCCCTCCCCACTGCCATTAAATTTGGTCCAAAGCCAGTTCCATATCCACTTTCGGTGAACATCGGTTTGAACTGGATAAGCACATCACATACTAAACCCCCATGGAAACGCTCATTATGAACCTACCATGGGTTGCGAAAGCCAGAAAGGGGGGTGCATCGTGCAACAGCCAGGACACACATGACACTCCTTACTTGCCACAAAAACGCAATTTAATTTCGACATCCTCCCACTCTATTTTTCAGACGACAATTGGGGCCTAGGACTGGCCATAGCAGCCAACTTGCATGTGCCGTATCGCATCGAAATTGGCAGGACAGTACGTGACCTGCATTCGCAGGATAAACCGGGCAAAGGTGAGTATCGAATCCACTGGTCACTGGACCGCCTGCACTGAGCCAAAATCAATGCTACAAATTAAAGTGTGTTCTAACAGAAATCTATTGTATCTTGTACCTTTTTAAAATTAAATGCTATCAAATATTTACTTTTGAATACATACATATTATTGCCAATATTAAAATATTAATATCAAGTTGATATTAAGTATGTACATTCAAGATTCTTAATAACTGGCGTCCTCAATGCTAGGCAATTATTCAAATTTGTGTTGTCCCTGAGGCAAAGACTCACCGCATTCGGTTTCGGTTTTCAGCAATCATCATCACTGCCCCGCTGGACGACGGCAGTACCACGCGGCTCCTGTCCAGCATCGTGGCGAAGTGGGATGCAGATGCGGATGCGGAGGAGCCCAGGAGGCCGCACACCAAAATCCTGCTCATCGACATGGCGGCCAGCTCATTGGACATCCAGCACGGGTTCTACAAATATTTGACACGGATCGGCGGGTCGGCGGGGCAACGGGACGGCTCCGGGGGCAACACGACCTCTCCGGCGGGAGTGGTCAGCAGCAATCTGTTGGTGCTGACTCTGCTGAGCGACAGACATCGACACTTTCTGAACGCGGCCGGATTGATGGCAACAATGCAGAGTTTTCGCACGCCCCTCGGAAGTGCTGAAACGCGAAACCACACGGAACCACCGCCCACTGGCCAACGCAACGGCAACCTGGACAAGCTGTACCCCTATCGCAGTCTCTTCCCGCTCTACGACACGGTGGCAGCCACCGCCACCGCCACGGCCACCCAATCGGATGCGGAGCAGGCGATCCCCAAATACGATTTCGTTGTGCTGGACATCGTTAGGGACGTCCAGGTGGCCACTTACAAGTGGCGACCCCTGCTCATCCTGGAGAGTGACCAGCAAAGGGGGCCGCAGGGTGGCCAGGGTGGTGCCTACATCACCCACTCCGTGCAGCCGGGCTACGACGAGTGGCTGCTGGTCAGCAGCGTCCTTCTGTGGCAGTGCGGCGCCATCTGCTGGACCATCGCGGCCATTTGCGTGGGCCTCCTGGTCATCGCCGTGGCGGGCATTGTGGCCGCGGGCATTGCTATGAGGTGAGTCAACAATCAGGTTTTAATTTGCATGTTCAATCGTAAGTCACTTCGGAAGTAGGCGTAATACTTTGCCAATGAGGTGGGATCTTAACAACCAGATCTAGTGCATTAAAGGCCTCTCCTGATACAGTCAATAAAAAAAAAGATAAATAAAAGCTTAGGATATAAACATCCAAATGTGTTAAAACTAAAGTGATCTGCTTAGCGTCGAAGAAAAGCAACAACAGGTTTATTTTTTAAAATCTTTGGACACTAACAACTTCGGCAAGCCAAAATTTATATATTGATATTAAAAAACGACTATGGTGCCCTTTTTATTAATATTTTATTACTTATTTATTTATTTTTTAGTTTCCGAATGTTTCAACGGAAGCTATCTAATATAGTCGTCCGTTTAAGTTAAACTACATAAACGTTCATAGTTTAATAAAAATTAAACCGTAATTCTGAAATATTAGGCCTTAGCTATATTAAATTAAATTAAAAAAAAAACATCAAAGCATCCGATTGTTTCTATAAAAATTATATTAGTACCTGCAATTAAAAGATAGCTTTTTGGAAAGTTTCAAGCACATAGCTTTGAACTAGTTTGCGACATGAAGACAACTTTTGGAACAGTTTTAAGCAGATAGCTTTAAAACTGAGGTAGCAACACGAAAATATTCCATAATCAATTTAACAATAAAAAAAGTTAAACGCTTGTCTTAAACATAAGTAAAAACAAAATTTAAACTTCTTCTTAAAACTGGGATAAAACAAATCACCTTATCAGGCATTTATTATCTGGTATAAAACCCAAACAAACCTAGAATATTCTTGTGGTACTGTTGAATGGTTTATGTCCGTTGCTGTTGGGTAATTAAGATTCCGGGCAAACTTTTTGTTCGCCTGCAAATAAAAAATGACCACGCCCAAAAGGCAGCGGCTCGTTCATCTTTTTACAAATCCTTGTCCCGCGAAATGGCCCAATATCCATTGGATTGGGCAAAACGTATTTTTGCGCGAGGCAATTTCCATTTTGCGCGTCCTTGGTTTTCCATTTTCCTGTTAATTGCTTCGATATGCCCACAGTCGAGAAAACGCAGTTTCAACTTTATCTTTCATTTGCGAGCACCCAATTTAGTGAAATTTAGAATTTAACTTAGTTTGTTTGCAATCTATTTGATGTTAATCAATCCTAGTTTCGGTACAGGCATAAGTTAATGAAGTTTTAAATGTATGTATATCGGAGATTGACAAAATTTAAAACTATACTTCACACCGTAAAAAGTCTGCTCTAAATGGCATGCTTAAAATTCTTGTAAGCGTCAAGAAGGGGCAAGCTTAAAAATGCCCATTTCTTACCTATTTCCTTATTCTTATTTCTACTTTAAATCTAAAAATAATCTTTTATTTGGACCTTTTAAATCCGTTTAAATAATAAATTGCATACAAACCGGACCTAATTATACTTATCATTCAGTAAATTTATACTTAAAAAAAAAAAATTAACAAGTTCTATAAAGGTCTTAATTATGTTGTCATTTAAATTGACACAGACATAAAACGAGAGTTTCAGCTTCACTTCGCTAACGTAATATTGGTCAAATTATTGGCGGACAATTAAAATGGTTTATTCATGGGCTAAGTGAACGCTCAGCGAAAATTCACGAGTTGAATTAGTGCTGTTCATATCAGATTTTAGTTGGCCGCATGGAAAATCAATACCCGACCGCCCATTCAACTCCCTCTACGCTTGTACTCAGTCATTCACAACGGTTTGGCCATTAAAACAGCATTTAATTAATTAATTGCCTTCATCAAAGCGTGCCTCAAACTCATCTGGTTAGTTGGCATTTATTCATAAATACGCCAAGTGCGGTGAAACAAATCATTTACTGTTTGACATGCCGGTAAAATGTCCTGTGAGTGTCCTGAGTGTTAACCCCCAACCTCAACATGGGCGCACCAGAAATTAAACTAGTTTTACATTGCCGCCAACTTAAAGCCGCAACAACCGAGATATTTATTTTCCATCACTCCCGTTCACTAAAAAGCAACTCATGAAGTTTTAATTAGCGAGAGCGACACGAAGCAAAACAGGGCAGCTTAAACCAAACAACAAATGGCCAACCAGGCCAGGAAGGACACACCTGTGTGGGCAAACGAGAAACAAGCAAACGCTGGATAAATAGAAAACAACTCTAGGATAACGATGTTGCAAATACTCTTGGGAGATCCACTTAATAGAAGCGGTGTAAAATAATTTTAAAATTTGAATAAACTTTTCTGACCGATCTAGTCATATAGTCATAGTTGACTAATCGAAAACTATAAGAGATAGCAAAATGGGATTAAACATACTAATTGTTTCGAAATATTTTATTTAAATTGTATGCTCAAGAGCCTACTCCACTGTGTAGTACTAATTTGTTGGGAAACTAATTTGATAAATATAAAATAACAGAAAAGGCAATTAATCGTTAGATTAACTCATGAACTAACCCTGTCCGTGAAAATTCATTTTTAAAAACCAGCATTTGAGATACGAAGGAAGGATGGACACACCTGTGTGGGCAAACGAGAAACAAGTAAACGCTGGACAAATAGAAAACAACTCTAGGATAACGATGTTGCAAATACTCTTGGGAGATCCACTTAATAGAAGCGGTGTATAATAATTTTAAAATTTTAATAAACTTTTCTGACCGATCTAGTCATATAGTCATAGTTGACTAATCGAAAACTATAAGAGATAGAAAATTGGGATAAAACATACTCATTGTTTGGAAATATTTTATTTAAATTGTATGCTCAATTTATATTAGTAAACTAATTTGTATAAATATAAAATAACAAAGAACGCTGCTTAATCTCTAGATTAGCCCATGAAATTACCCTGCCCGAGAAAATTCATTTTAAAAACGACATTTAAAATAGTCTGTTTAATATTTGCTTAGACTGGGTGTTACCCTTTACCGCTTTTAGACCTTCTTTAACTGTAATGAGTTGAGTTATACTATAAATAAGACCACAGAATGCAAAGCGAAACTCCTATTTCTCTTTTTTTTTGTGGAAGGAAGTTCGAAATCTAGTTAACAACCGGCACACGTGTGTCCGCAGAGTTTTTCTTCTTCACATTGTGGTCAGCCCATTAATGCCCCTAACACACTTAACTAAACTTGGCTGTGTCCACGTGGCAAACTTCTGGCATAACAATTGCTGCATGAATTTGCGGTTTTGCAGGCTTCTCTTTTTTCCTCCAAGTTTGTGGCCAGAAGCAGGAAGGACCAAGTCGAACTGCTGGGAGCCATTAAGTAGGTAGTAGTAGTAAAATTTTTTTATGCTCTCGTCTTCATCTACCCAAGGTCGCTTATTCGGGTAGTGCGTTAACGGATGGGGTTTAATAGATGCAGATTGCATCTGTCGAAGGTGAAAGATCTTACCGCTTGGAAGGTTTGGCGACAACTGTTAATTTAAGCCTGAAATGCCTAGGAACGAACAACTTACGTTGCCTTTAAAGTAACCAAAAACAACTCTCCGTTTGTATGAAGATCTCGAAAACTACAAAAGCTAGAGATTTGGAATTTAGCACGCAGATTCTTCACAAATCGCGAAACACTTAACACGTCTGTTACGTCGCTCTGAAACATGATAGACCTTAGCTGTTGTACCCTGTGTGTGTGTTTTGGTCACATCTATCGGTAGACACAAGAATTTTAAAAATTGAGCTATAATTTTAGAAGTTATTAAGTCCTCGACCGGCCCTCTGCCGCTGCTCGGCCGCTATTAGGCCGCTGCTCTGCCGGTAATCGCTGATGTATAGACACAGAACGAAAGAACTGTTAGCGTGGGGTGTTGGTTATGCAGCTCGATAGATGGCGCCACCTAAACTCCGATTGTTTTGTGGGGACCATTATATTGAAATTTGTAAATCTGTTTTTTTTACTGTTTGATATTTTTCTGTTTGGGTACATTTTTGAAAGCTCGGAAGATTTTGTACGATAATGTTTGAAAAGTATTTTATTATGTTTCTAATTAAATAAATATTGTAACCCGTGCAGGAATTACTTCTTACGGAAGCGTCTCTCCAAGGGACCCAACAAGATAGTCCTTTCCTCCAGCGACTTTGTCTTCCCCGTGGATTCCCGAAGGGTGAGTACCCCTACCCTCGTCCTAAGCTGCGTCTACAACTTCCAGACGATTTCAGGTTGATGAGGGCATTGAGGCCATGCTCTGTTGTTGGCTGCAGCAGCTGCAGGAGTTTGGTGGACCCGAAGTGGATAAACCAGATCTTTTGAAAGGCTCCATTGGCTCGCTAAAGAATCTGGGATTCGTGATACCCGGCGCAGCTGGTTCAGCTGGAGCCATCACGGCCACGGCGAATGGCAAGGGGGTGTCCTCCGCCACGGGCAGCCTGGCCAGGCACAATCCCGCCCATCTGGACATGAGGGCCCGCTACAACGGTGATCTCGTCCAGCTGAAGGAGGTGCACATGAACGGCTCCGTGGAGCTGCGCACCAAAGCGATGGATCTACTCGTAATGGCCCATGGTCTGAGGCATGAGAACATTAATCCTCTAATTGGCTGGCTATCCGATCCCAACCGCACGGCCATGGTCTTCGACTACTGCTCCAGGGGATCGCTTCAGGACGTCCTCATCATGGACGAAATCAAGCTGGACTGGTCGTTCCGGCTGAGTCTACTCACGGATCTGGTGAGGGGCATGCGGTACCTGCACACCTCTCCCCTGAGGGTCCATGGGGCCTTGACCTCCAGGAACTGCGTAGTGGACGCCCGGTGGGTCCTCAAGATCACCGACTACGGCCTGAACTCGTTCTACGAATCCCAGGGTCTGCCGCCCAGGCCCCGAAGTGCCAAGGAGCTGCTGTGGACAGCTCCGGAGCTGCTGCGCAGCATGAAGCTCCACCAGCAACAGCACCACCATCACCACCAGCACGGACGCACCCAGTTGGGCACCCAGCTCGGCGACGTCTACTCCTTCGGGATCATCATGCAGGAGGTGGTGGTCAGGGGAGAGCCCTACTGCATGCTCTCCCTGGCCCCCGAGGAAATAATAGCCAAGATCAAGAAGCCTCCGCCGCTGATCCGGCCCTCCGTGTCCAAAGGAGCCGCTCCTCCGGAGGCCATCAATATCATGCGCCAGTGCTGGGCCGAGCAGCCCGACATGCGTCCCGATTTCAACTCGTAAGTAGTGGCTACTTGGGAGTTATAGAAATAAGTGTAGGCTATGAAGGTATTTTACTTTGGATTTCGCAAAAGCTACACTGGTAAATAAAACGTAGTAAACTTAAATATATTGTACTCAATTTAAATATTTTTCGTTTTGATTTTTATCCATTGCGATTTCTATTTACTGTAAATATGCACCATATTAATTTTATTTTCGTATTTAGTTTAAATATTTTCAGAGTAATGTTAAATATTTTTAATATTTAATTTAAATTTGGTCCATATTTAAGTTAAAAAATGTTCATAGTTAAATTAAACACGATGCGTATTTGTTTTATATATTAAAACATTTAATTTAACTACAAATCGTATTTAAAGTAATTATGAAACATGAAACATTAAAATATTTAATTTAAGTAGAAACCGTATCTAAATTAATATGAAATAAATTTAAGTTAAATACGGCGCATCTTTGATTTAAATATTTTAATATTAAATTATGGAATTTAATATGTTTTGTATTTAATTTTAATATTTTTGTATTTACTTTAAATATGAAATATGCATTTTACAATTTAATATGCGCATATTTATTTTTACTATTCCATTTTTTTTACCAGTGTAGTACTTGCACAACTTCTACTATTGTGAATATGAAGAACACTTCAGCCAGAAGGGAATAGCACCTAAGAACAATAGTTGTCCGATTAATTTAAATGGTTCTTTTTATTGTGCCTCAGTGCTTCAGTTTTAAGTTTTTATTGCCAGCAGCTCAGTTAAGTTTTAAGTTTTTTATTTTTTCAATTAACTACAGTTTCTGTGATTTATTTACCCATTTTAGGGTTTATGAGCGCTTTAAGATGCTAAACCATGGACGCAAGGTGAACTTTGTGGACACCATGTTCCAAATGCTCGAGAAGTACTCAAACAACCTGGAGGAGTTGATTCGGGAACGCACCGAGCAACTGGACATTGAACGAAAGAAGACTGAACAGCTGCTGAATCGCATGTTGCCAAGGTAATATTCCGCCAATGTGTAATTAATATAATATTTTAATTAGCACATAATATATATATATTTAAATCCTTAAATCCACAGCTCGGTTGCTGAGAAACTAAAGATGGGCTTGGCCGTCGACCCGGAAGAATTTTCCGACGTAACCATATACTTTAGCGACATTGTTGGTTTTACAACAATCGCCGCCCATTGCAGTCCCGTACAGGTTGTGGATTTGCTCAACGATCTCTACACAATATTCGATGCCACGATCAATGCCTACAATGTGTATAAAGTAAGTACAAAACTATTCATTATTCTCAATTAATTGCAACTCATTATATCTCTTAATTTAAAATAAATCGAACTTTTTAATTATTTGTAATTAAAGAAACATTGTTACTTTTTTCTCTTTTATTTTCTTAATATTCTTCCTTTAGGTGGAGACAATTGGAGATGCCTATATGGTGGTGAGCGGACTACCCGTGAAAATACCCGATCATGCCGAGCAGATAGCCACCATGGCCTTGGACCTGCTGCATCAGAGTGGTCGCTTCAATGTGAAGCACCTGCCCGGCGTTCCACTCCAACTGAGGATCGGCCTCCACACGGGTCCTTGTTGTGCCGGGGTGGTGGGTCTCACGATGCCCAGATACTGTTTGTTTGGCGACACAGTCAATACGGCATCGCGAATGGAGTCCACCGGTAACTGCGTGCAACCACTCATTTTGCTCAATGCTTCCAACTCGATATATTTCTTTTCCATAGGATCCTCCTGGCGCATCCATATGTCCCAGGAAACCAGAGATCGACTGGAGGCTCGTGGCGGCTATGCCATCGAGCCAAGAGGCCTGATCGACATCAAGGGCAAGGGCATGATGAACACCTTTTGGCTGCTGGGAAAAAAGGGCTTCGATAAGCCGCTGCCGGCACCACCGCCTATTGGGTAAACATATATCATTTTACGTATTTTCCATTTTAAAACACTTCTAAAACAACTCTTAAAAAACATATTTCTGGTCGCAGTCTTTGTACAGGGTGGCCCACGAAAAAGTTAAGTTTTTAAATGGCTGTAGAAGAAAAACGGATGGGTCGTTCGGGTGGCCTATTTGCAAGGGCATGCCATCCATTACAAAAAAAAATACTTGAAAAATATTAATCGGTTTTTTTCACCACATTATAAAAAGCAACTTTGTTGTGACTCACCCTAGGAATTGTTTGTCTAACAAAATCGTGACGTGATAAAGGAAAATATATCTTAGCACTCAAAAAACGTAAACCCTTCGAACGTTGTTCTTAAAGTAATAAGTCTATTTTTCTATGGCAAAGATGGACAAAAAAAAATTATTTGCATACATCATAAGAACTCCGGCAAACCAGAGTCTTCAAATCGAATATCGAGAAAGAACTATGGCATAATCAAACATTTGTTGTAATACAATTTTTGATTCATATAGCCAATTTTAAAATAGATTGACTTGTAATAAGAAGTTTAACCAACACAAGGTCTATTGTCTGATTGAATCAATATTTAGGTTTGAAGTTGAAAGTGACTACAAGTTGTATCACATATATTTCTTTAAAACTTTTTTGGAATGAAAAAGCAAAAAAAAAAAATAGCCAAATTGGAGGTGCCTACTATTAGTATAATACTTTATTAGCAGCATATTGATAAGACAGTGACTAACAAAATGTTTTATGTTGTCTTTAACAATTGTAAATGAACTGCGCTCTAATCAAATGTTAACCTCTTAACGCCTGCATTTCACCAAACTCATTAGGGAGTCACACGGGTATGTTAAACCTCGTTTTATTTGAGCATTTCAGTAATACCCCTTTAACGGTCGTTCACAGCTTGGATGAGTCCCTGATCCGCAACTCGATAACCCTGAAGGCGCAGGCCAACAAATCCCGGACGAGCACGAATCCCTCCTCCTCGCAGAGCTCTTCGCTGGCGGGCGAGTCCGTGGAGGTGAAGGTCGAGATAACGCCGCCCACCAACGCGGATCTGGGCTCCGGGGCCAATCTGCCCAACTCGTACTCCCTGGACTCGAACTCCACCAACACGATCAGCCCCAATGCCACCCTCTGTCCGGAGTTTCCGGGCAAGACGACGCCCAGCAGTGCCAGTCCGCAGTCGCGCAAGCTCTCCGAATTGACGCCGGACAACCTGCTCAATCCGAACAGCTTCAACCGGCTGCCGAACTCCACGGGCGGCTCCAGTTCGCGTCTCTACAAGAAGATCGAGGAGATGATGGACCTCAGTTCGCCGTACAATCACTACAAATGCCTCAGTCCCAGCGAGAGCAATCTCACCCAGTTCTATGACGGCAAGTACCTGTACGGCACTGCGGCTGGCGGTGCGGTGGGCGGGGCGGGGGGCGGACAGGGCGGGGGACAGGGTGGCGGTGGCACCTGTTCCTCGGCCACCGGGAGCGGGTGTGGGAGCGGACCGGCCCGGTTCGATAGCAAGCCCGGCTCCAGTCGCCTGCTGCGTCGGCAGTTCAGCTTGGATCGCGATGACCAGCAGGCGAAGGGAGAGCAGCAGCAGCACCACCACCAGCACTCCCTCCAGGCCTCCACCTATGCGGCCTTGGTGGGGGGTGCTGGTGGTGGGGGTGGGGGTGTTGGTGGTGTAACCAAGACCTCCATGCTGGACATACCACTGCTGCACGACACCTCACGCAGTCCCAAGGGCACGCTGACGCGGGCCCACAAGCAGAACTCCGCCTCGATTACCCAGGATCTGGAGAAGATCGAAGAGATCCCGCTGTCGCCGGCCTCCTCCCAGCACCACAGCAGTCTGGACAGCAACCTCAATCGCAGTCCGCCCTCGACGCTGGAGGCACAGTCGCCAACGCTGTCCCCCCTCAGTCCGCCACAGCTCTCCGCCCCCACCTCGCCGGCCCCCTCAAGGACCTTGAACGGTTTGCATGCCCACGGCAGCAGTGCCACCCACTCCCACGGAGCCACGGCCAACAACAATAATGGCACCCATGTCGGCCCAGAGTTGACCCTCAATGCGGAGCAGCTGCTGAGCAGATAGGGCACAATCTAAGGCCCCCAAGGAAAGGGCGCCGATCAAAGCTTTAGGTCTCATCCGAACCCAGTTTGACTGTGTGTGTATGTGTGTGTGTGTGTTTGTGAGTGATTGGTAGTGACTTTTGGTTTTAGATATCGTAATGGGGGAAAATGTTGTGCAACACCATTGTCCCACTGGCAAAAAGATTTGCAACTAAATCGTTTGCCAGAAGTAAAGACTTTAAGATCACAATTAACCACTTCGTTTCCCAAGCTACGATTTTAAAAAAAAATATTTAACATCACATTCCCATTAGTTTTCCAATTGATTTTTTTCTCATGTTTATATTTATATATTTATTTATATAATATTTTTTTTTTGCTCTAATGGTAGCAAAATCTATTGATATGTAATTGATATTTAACTAGCTTTTAACTATTTTTTCAGTTAAACAAATTTAAATTAATTTAATTAATAACAAATGATAATTATTTATGTTAATTTATGTTATAAAAATATCTTTCTTTCAAGACATATTTATTTAAAAGTTCTCAAGTCTGTAATATTAGGTGATACCATGAACTACATTTCCCAACGATTTCCACAAGTCCGCCCAGAAATCGACTCAACCCAGAATGCAGAGTGAGTGTGATTGTGATTGTGAGTGTGAATGTGAATGGTAATGATTTAAAAATGTTGTGATGTGGAAAGCAAAGTACCTCGATGCATGCCAGCTAGGTTCCAGCAGCAAATGAAAGTACAATTTAGTTGAGCATTAGTTCAAGATGTGTGGCTAATACCCCAGTTACTGTCGATCGTCCATAGCAAAAATCAGCGTTACGCCAAATCGAATACATAGACCCTAGATCCAACCAGAATTAGTTTCATTTCAAAACAATGTTACCAATGTAATAATGGATTGTTTTATATTACATGTTTTTTTTTTAATCTTTCTTTTTTTTAATATATAGTAACATATTTAACATGTCATGTCTGTCAAGTATATCCGTGTATAGACTTTGATAGTTTGTAGATCTGAACTTTATTCAATTAGTAAAAAAAATCCAGTTTCCGTAGGCGTTTATGTTTTTCCAAAACTTTTCCAATTTTTTGTGTTTTTTTTTTCTTTTTCGATTCGGTTCGATTTAAAAATTTTAGGCTTTTCATTTATGTTAACCGGGATCGAATTATCAGTGCTCATACAAAAAAATAAATAATAATTTTTTTCAAATTAAATTTTATCACTTTTAAAAATGTCATACAAATAATTATGTGAATATTATTAGCATTTCCTCAATGATTTACTACCTCATATTTTTGGTTTCTTACAACCTTTATAATAAGTTGAACAACAAAACAATGTTCTTAAAAATGCTGGTAACGAAAGAGTTAAGCCATTCCTTTAAAATTTAAAAATGTTTTGCATAGACTCAATCTTGAACTGTTTAAATTCATTCAGAAACCACTCCCTCTAATCACAATGACTACATTATTGATCTAAGCAACCGGGCTGATTTTTGTTGTTCCACTCGAGTGGATTTTCGATTAAACTAATGGTAGGATACTAAAGGTAAATACCTACTTGATGTTCCTTGCAAAAACAAAGTAATAACTAGATCTTAAACTTTGCGGAAATATTAGGAAACATAGCGGACATTCAAAAATATCTATGAAATAAGCATCGCAAATGTGAATTTAGTTTTCTAAAGACAATCGTTGTTACTTTTAAATGAACGCAAACTAAATGAAGAGTAGGATTCCCAATGGGATCGACTATGGTTTGTCTCCATGTCTATGATATATGATATATTTTGTAACCGCTCTACGATAGCCTAGTTGTATTGTAATCTACTCTCATCCAGTGCGTGTGTGTCCAACATAAGCTATAAATATCCACATAGAGAAAATCAAACTAAAATATCAGTTATAATACATACCTATATACGTGCATACATATAGAATCGAGTTTCTACCTAATTCCAGCGGTACGCAATTCCAAGCCAAGTCAACTAACTCACAAACATTTTGTAACCAATTTAGCTTTAAGAATGATCAGATCACATCAATCAACCATTTAATTTACTCTGTATTCATTTGGCAAATCGTTAAAAGCTGCTCAAATTTACGACAATTACTATGTCAATTAAGGCAAAACCGAACACTAAAAACTCAGCAGAATAATAAAATATGTGTACTTTCCCTGTGTCGTTCATTTGTCTGTGAAACAACATTTCCAGTTAATTAAGACCGCATTTATATGGCAGTCACTCTTTGTTTAAGTGCTTTTGTAACTCAAATGTTTCATTCTCCGCCAGAATCAACACATGAATGCATAAACAAATAAATAAATACATAAACACTATAAAATTGCAATTGAAGTTGTTATCTGTAATTTCCCAGACATAAAAACTGGATAGCATTCACTTTGTGGAAACAACAAAAATAAAAAGGTAAAAATAATGTCCAAAACTTTGACTATGTGATATATGGACAGCATCTACCCTTTAAGTAAATACTTTTTTGATATCGCGTATCTTCAACAGGATAGTTTTTATTGAAAATATTTAACTATGCAGATATTTAAATCGGGATAGTTTGTATTCAATTAAACATACAAAACGGTCAAGAAAGTAAACTTCATCAAGCCGAAATCTTACAAAAACGACAATTGCGGAATTTATGTGCAGATGGCTTTCAAACTAATAAAGTAAATCCCATTGATACAGACAGACGGAAATGCTCTTGTCGACTTGACTGCTAATAAAAATATTTATTTTCTAGTTTTACCAAAACGATCTGTAATCAGAGAATTACTATAATCTGCATTACAAATCCCAAATATCTAGCTGTTATAGTTTCCGATATCTCGTCATTCATACGAACGGACATGACTAGATCGACTCGGCTATTGATCCTGATCAGAAATATATATATATACTTTATAGTGTCGGAAACGCTGTTACATACTTTTCAACGACTACACCGTTTTACTCTACTTTTATACCAGTTATAAAAGTAAGACCAGTCCAAATTCTTATTAAATACGATATTTATTTAACTGTATTTGACTTTTTATCTTTTTAAACAGTCCTCGTATTGCTTTTGAGTTTCTTCTTTTATTGAAAGTATTTATAAATTTTTCACTTATTTTGGATTGTTTTGTATGGTTTAATTTGTATGGTGGGCAGCTCAGGTCAGCTCGCTTCACAATCGTCTTTCGTATAGTACCTTAACAAATGCTACTCCTCCTCCTCTTTATCCTTGCGATGTGACTTCTTCTTCTCGCTGCGACTGGAGGAAGGTGCGGTGCTGCTGCTCTTGCTACTTCGCTCGCTTCGATCTTTCTCGCGGGACTTGGACTTGCGACGGCTGGACTTTTCGCGGGATCTGGAGCGTTCTCGACGTGAGCTCTCTTTGTCTTTCTCCTTGTCTTTGTCCTTATCCTTTTCCTTATCCTTATCCTTGTCTTTGTCTTTGTCCTTTTCCTTATCTTTTTCTTTCTCCTTATCCTTATCCTTTTCTTTGTCCTTCTCCTTATCCTTGTCCTTATCACGAGATCGCTCCTTGTCGCGATGTCGCTCGCGTTCCTTTAGGTCGCGCTCCTTACGCTTCTCCTCCTTCAGCAGATGCAGGTAGTCTTCGAAGTACTCCTCGCGATAGGACGAGTCCAGGGCACGGTACCTCGGGTCCGCCTCGAACTTCTTCTTGATGTCATACCACCTTGTATGCCTCTCAATATCGTGGCGCTCCCGCAGCATGTCCAGGAAGTCCTTTCGCAGCTGTATATGTAAATACATATTCGTGATTACGCTATAATTCTATAATTCCTATTTGACACTTACCTGATCTTTTTTCAACAACTTGTCCTTCTCTCGCCTTCTGCGCTCACGATCATCCTCGTAGCCGCCACGGTCTGAAATATAGATGACACAAATCAATTAGAATTCGTTTAATGTTAACACTAAGGTAATAAAACTTTAAAGTCCTTAATACAAAAGTAGTAAAAAATGTATTTAATCGTTTTGTGAAAGAATAATTAATTGGAAATTTGTTAGCTGAGTAACGGGTATCTTATAGTCTTGTTTTTAATTTCAACTGCATAATATACGTTGCTTTTAATCATTTAGCCAGGATACAAACATAACAAGATCTACATACCTTTGATTTGACTAAGAGATTATTTATTTTAATAAAAAGAGAAAAATCTTTCTGAAAAATTTCACAAAATTTAGAATTCCACAGGCCTAAATTAAAAAAAAAAAACAGTTTGAGTAATCAAGACCACACCGTTTTCGATTCGATTATCTTAGTCATGATAGACATTTAGATAATATTTACCAGTTCTTTGCAATTAGACCGTTAAGGAGTATATTGAAATATTTTAGTATAAAGCATTAGCGAAAATGTTTTTTAAATTTTTTAAAATAAGCAAAATAATTTTAGTAAGCTCATCCTGCTATGTTTGCTTTTTTGGAAGTATAATAGAATAGTCTGAGCTTTTCATGTTCGAATAATGGGCGCTCTTTGAGCCAATTGTGCTGAAGGCTAATTGGAATCATATTTTATGCTATGCTGTTATGCTGTTATTCAACAATTTCATGACCTACAATTTTAGAGTCATATCTAAACAAATTATGATCTGATCTTAAGCTCCAGTTGTGCAGGACTGTTATATAAAAATTCATTTTCCTAAGGACTTATATTCCGTTTAGAAATGTTTGAAATTATCTTAAAAAAAAAAGTTTTGCCTTAACTTTTTAATGAAATCTTAAAAATAAAGATATTTTTTTTCCTTCTCATCTTTTTTAATCGTTTTGTTTTATAAAATCCTCAGGGAAATTTACCAATTGGAACGAAACTGAAAGCTGTACCCTGGTTAATCTCAAACCTATATTACGTTGATCTTAAAATATCCCTCTAAACTTTGCTTTATTCTTACCGCCCATGGTCATCCTCTGTGGCGGTGCCATGCCCATTCGCATCTGTGGCGGTCCGTTGCCTCCCATCATCATGCCTGGCGGCGGTCCCATATCTGCAACAAGAAAAACACGGATAAGCCAAGGATATGATGGGTCTTCCTGTCCAGAACTCACTCATATTTGGTGGCATGCGCATGTTGGGCGGCATCATGCCGCGTAAATTGGGTGGCGGGCCGCCCATCTGTGGCGGTGGTACGCTCATGCCGGGAGGCGGCATCCCAGGCGGCGGCTGCTGCATATGGGCGTGGCCCGGAGTCAACTCCTTGATCCCGCTGGGCACCCAGCCGGCATTGTCGCTGCCCCACTGCGACTCCTGTGTGGGTTCGTAGCCGTAGTCGAAGGGCTCTGGCTCGTGGAAGAAGGGTTCTTCAGAGGCTCCGGGCAGCGGGAAATTGGGCGCCATGGGTCCCAGGCCACCACGTGAATACTCCCGGCACTCGGCGGTCATCACCTGAATGGCATTCTCCTTGACGCCTCTCTCCCGATCGCCGCCACGGTCGCCGCCCGTGGTCGAGATGGGCCTGGGCGGGCGTTGCATCAGTCCCATTCCTGATCGCGACTGGTGCTGCATCATGGGTGGCGGCATTCCAGGCGGCGGCATCTGCATGCCACCCTCTCCGCCCATTCCCACCATGGACTGAATGCCGTGCATTCCGGGCGGACCCATGCCCATACCGCCGTCCGCTAGAATTCCAATGGGCGTGTTCTGGCTGACGTTCTGCGTGAGACTGGCCAGTCCGACGCCGCTCTCCGCCACCCGGAAGCGTTTCTGCCGTTCGCAGTACGCCCGCCACGTCTCCTCGTTGAAGCCGTAGTTAAAGTAGTCCGTGATGTCCGCTCCCGGCTTGCGCCACGGCTTCTCCTCCAGCGAGTCGATGCTGAACTCGTGGACGGCCACCCCGTTTATGGTGCCGGCGCCCTCGAAGTCCTCGATGCTGAACTTGCCCGCCTGGCCCGTCGGCTTAGCCTTGTCTCCGGCGGCTCCGGTGCCGCCGGCCAACAGATTGGGTCGCTGCTTGATGTTGTAGCTGGGTGCCTGCTTAATGTCTCCGATGACCACGTTGATGTCATCGTCCGAGTCATCGTCGTCGTCCTCGTCGGACCCTGAGCCGTTACGCTCCCTCCGGGAGCTGGGAGCATCGACCATCTCCTCGTCCTCGGGATCCTCAGGAGAGGAATGGGCGTCGGCTCGGTCTGCAAACCGACCACGATCCCGATCCCTGTCCCGGTCGCGCTCTCTCCTACTCCGGCTGTCCGTGGTGTCCGGCAGAGCCTCTTCGTCCTCCTCCATTTCCTGCGCCGGGTCGTCGAACTCCGTGTACTCGGGCACCTCCTCCTTGGGATAGCGAGGCGAATCCCCGGCGGGATCGGACCCGGACGAGGTGCCCGGCTTTTCGCCGGCAACCACTGCGGCCAAGGCCTGAGCTTCTGCCGCAGCCTCGTGCTCCGCCGTCAGCGAGTCCCCGCCGTTGCCCAGCTCGTTGGTCGTCGAGTCCGGGTTCGAGGTGCCATACAGCCAGCTGTCCTCGTTGGTGTCGTCCGCCATGGTCGTATCCTCAGAAATCCTCAAGAAACCGCTCAGAATCCAATGCGTTGGGGCGAAATTTTAGATGTGGAATCGATGCTCGCATCGATGTTATCGATGTTTTCAACACATCGCTAATACTTGTCTGGGCATCATCGATGTTTTTCCATCTCTAACAAGTATAGAACAGAAATATCTCTCCAGTTCATGCGGTCTGTTATCGATTCCATTCCAGTTCTAGCTTACATTTATCAAGCATTCCGTTGGTTCCGCCCCAAGAATCAGAATCAATTGACGAAATGCCTAAAACTGTGCGCGCGCCTAACAGCACGCTGTTAATGTTATGTTGAGACGATAGTTTGGCGTCTGTCGATACCGGCTGAGAATCGTTGTTTCGATCAATCTGGTCTCGTGAGCAAATGTTTTGTATGAGTCACTGAAATTTAACGAATTAAACAATTTAAGTCAAAATAATATCACTGTAATCTCAATATGCAATGACCTCTTAATAAATTTTCATGGAAAAAATTCCCACTTTAAACAAAATACGTATTAAAGCTAGTCGTTGTTATATACCAAAAGTTGAAGAATTTCAAGGGCTATAAACGTTAAAAAAAAATAAACAAAAGTCGAAAATATCAAAATTCAAATATTTAGTTCATTAATTTTTTAAAAAGTCGTAGAACAAACTTTTCTTCACTCATTCCTGGTTTCTGGAGAATGTAACCAACTTTTACTGGCTAAATCTAACTTGGCTTTCTTTATATTTCAGAAAAGCTTACAGAGTTTATTAAATGATAATTAAATGAATTGATAATGAATAAAAAAAATAGTTTTAATATTCTTCATTTTGTATTTAACATTACTTTCACATTGAAAGAAACTAATATAATAATAAAGTATGAGAGTTACAAGAGTATAATTTTTTTATTTGTATTCTTAAAGAGGGTATTATAATTTCAGTCAGAAGTTTGCAAGAATTACGATATAAATTTCATTCAAATCGGCCGAATATAAAATACAAAAAAAAAATATATATATAAATATTTAACTTCTTTAATTTTTTAAATTTAAAAGTTCTATTAAACATATTAATGGTTTCAAATTTAAGAATTACGTTTATAATTTTATCAAACAAAAACACCTCTTAACGAGGTAAGAAATTTGTGACGATTACCTTCAACATATAAAATATCTGATATCATAGTGATAATTTGTCCATACGTAAGCATCACATGAACTATTTTTTGTAAAAAAAAAAAAACTGCCATATATATATTTTTTCAACTAAACTAAACTAAATCTATATTATATGTACCTAAGTAAACACGTATTCTTTGATATATACATATAGGCATGGAAACGCTTTTTTCTACCTTTTTTCCCCATTTTTTCTCTGCGATTCAACGGCGTATTACGGAATTCGAATGCATTTTTACACAAGTTAGCGATTTAAGGTACGATTAAGACTTTATGAAAAAAAAACAACCTATAGTATGTCCCTGCGGCACTTGCGCAATTGTTTGCGCATCAAGAGCGCATCGAGCTCGGACTGCTTCCGGCGCTCCTCCTCCTCGATGGCGCGTTGGATCTCCTCCGCCTCGTTGCTGGCCTTCTCCGAGATGATGTGCACCTGGGGCAGGAAATCCAAAATACCCTTACGCATCAGGTACTGATAGTTCATGGCAATGGTGTACTTGATCTCCTGACCGGTTACTGCGCTCAGTTCCTGCCAGTGCATGTACATCCAGTTCTCGTTTCGCAGGTCCCTTATGCTGTTGTACACCGGAATGAAATCGTCAATTTTTCGTATAAACGTTAAGGCCACCTCCATTATCTCGTGCTTCTCATTGAATATCTGCACGGATTCGGTTAGCTCATCGCGCAGCTTCATCAAGCTGTTCCACACATCGTCCAGGTCAAGCTGTGCTATCGGATTGCCCGTGGTGGCATCCTCCAGTTTCAGGAAATTGGCACAGGCATACCACAAGTTCTTGTAGGGCGTGAAGCTCTCGATGATGCTCTCCAGGAACTGCGTGGACAGCGGCTCCAGTTCGAAGAGCTCCTGCCGAAACTGCAGCGTCTGGCTGATCTTTTGCAGTTCCTTGATCAACACCCACGTCTTCTTGATGTCCACCGACGTCTCCTGGGCCCGGTTCGGATTGAAGGCCAACGAATAGGCCTGCACCTCGTCGTTCAGGGACTCCAGACGCTCCTCGAATGCCTGACATTCGCTGCCATGCTGACGCAGGAACTCCTCGATGTCGATCTTCTGCTCATCCTTCAGCGTGGACAGGCGTACCATTATCTGATGCGGCCAGGCATAGACGTTCCACTTCATGGCGAACTGGTGGTCACTCAGGTTGTAGAAGAAACTGTCCAGCAGATCGTACTCCAGCCACATGACCTGTATGTCCGCCTTCAGTTCATCCACCACATCCGGCACGGTCAGGGCAAAGTCACGGATCTCGTACAGGTGCTCAATGCTGATGGGTCGCTCCGCAATGCGGCGGAACACTTCCAGGCAGCGGTCCAGTAGCGCCTCGTTCGTTTCGTACATCCGATCCACATAGTACTCGAAGATCCGTCTAACGATATCGATGCGCTTCTTGATCATGAACTGCTTCAGCGTGTCCACATTGATGTAGAACGGTCCGATGGTTATGAAGGCCGGCAGTATTTCGCGCACCTCCTCCTTCAAACGCTTGTGCTCCAGGATGTCCCGCTTGACCTCCGACGATGGCTTATGGGCCTGGGCATAGGCCTGCATGTACGCATTGATGTTGAGCAGGTAAAAGTCGATGAACCGCTCGTAGAGGCGGGCATATGCCCTCAACGGCAGCACCGCCTTTCCATAGCACTTGCCCAGCAGCTCGTTCTCCCGCACGAAGCTCTCCTCGATCAGCTCGACCGTCAGGATGTAAAGATTCGGGGCGAACTTCAAAGCGGTCATGACGGCCGCATCAATGCATCGCACTCCAGCCGCCTTCTCCAGGCACCTCTTGAAGATCTCCACCAGTCCGGGTTGGAACTCATCCGGATCGGTGGAGTAGAAGACCTTGCGATCATCACTGATGCCCAGGGTCATGGCGAACACGGGCTTGTGGAACGGAAACTCAGTTTCGATGTAGTTGCTCGTCCACTTGTAATTGGACTTCAGAGCCAAAAACTGCAGACACGGATCGCAGACAAAGTGCGAGAAATTGAGCAGCGACATTCCGAGTAGCACCTCCATGGACTCCTGCATGCGAAACTTCACCTGCAGTATGAATCTGGAGATCTTGCACATGAGGTAGACGGTCCAGTTGCCAAACGAGATGTCCAGCCAGCCCTTACCCAAAGCCCGCAACACCACCGTGATGACATCGGTGAGCTTCTGTGGCCAGTAGACCTTCAAATACCTGGCCACATTATCGCTGTGCGCCTCCTGCGCCTGCAGGAAGTCGGCGAGCGCCAAGGGTTTGCTGAAGGTGCACACGAAGATCGACAACGTTTCGATATACTGACACTCGATGGCCACACCGGCCATGGCCTCCACTCCACCGCCGCAGTAGAAGAGACTCGCTTTGAGGAAGTCGTAACGCTTCTCCTGCATGGTGATGCCCAAGGACTGCAACTCCAGGCGCTCCTTGCCGGACACCTCGACGGCAAAGGAGCGCGGCAGGAACTCCTTGAGGCTGATGTTGCGGAACTGCGGGAACTCCTTGGGCATCTTCAGGATGAACTGTTCCAGTTCGTAGAGAGCCATCAGGCGTTCGAACACCAAGTTCACCTCGGAACGCAGACGGCGTTTGCATTGCTCGGACACCTTGGCGGCGAGCAGTACCGCCTCGATGGGTTTGAAGCTATAGAAGACCGTCGACTCGATGTCCTCGTGCAGGACACAATCGACGATCAGCTCCATGAGCATCAGTTGCTCACCCTTGTGACGCTCGTGAACGGCGGCCTGCAACCGTTTGATATACTTGTGCGGATCCTCGGCCATGAACATGAACTGCAACTTGGGCACCGTATACGTGCAGCCATCCTCCAGCGACAGCAGTGTCCACAAGCCGGTATCCTCGTGATGGGCAGTGACCGCCGCCATGCCCCACTGGCAGTTGAGCAGGCTGCGTTGGTAGGGCAGGTAGGCCTTGGCCGGCAGTGGGTAATGGACCTGGCCAACGACACCCAGCTCGAACCAGGCGGCCGGCGAGTTGATGTCGAAGTTGCTGTCGTCGAAGTAGCTAAGCGGGAATTTGTGCGGGAAGGCGAATTCGGACATCACGTTGTACTGCTCCTCGGTGGGCCGGAGCACATCGTTGGTCAGGCCAGCCTTGGCCAGTTCCTCGACCAGGTTGATCTTCTGGTATTGACGACGCCGTCGATCCACCTCCACGTCCTTGGGCAGATGGCGCTTGGGCACGTAGCGTGTTTGGATCACTTTCGGCAGGATCGTGGGCAGCGGAAAACGGTGCGGTTTGCCCATCTTGTCCATCAGCGTGAGCCAGCGCTGGGCCTCCTGGATGGGATAGTAGACATCGGTGAGCTGGTTCCTGGGGATATACAACTCCTGGTAGTTCATCGAGGCAGTTCCCGGTCGGGGAGGCATGATGCAGATGGCCTTCTCGACCTCACGCTGAAACTGATGGTCATCGTTCTCCTGGTAGCTAATCGAGCCGAAGCTGGACTCCTCTGACTCCTCGTAATCGTCATCAGCTACCCCCAATCCCACCTCCAAGTTATCCGGATCCATGTCAAATATATATGGTTTCAATTCATTTAAATGTAAATGTGGCGTTCCTTCCAAAGCATTCGGTTTACATTTCTATCACAAAAATCAAATTATTGCCAAACAAATGACATGTTAAAATATATATTTCTAGACTTATGTACTTGTGTTGATTATCATCTTTCCTATAAGTACTCTTGAAATTAAATCAATCCTGTATTTTTGGAAAATTTTTATAAAAACATGTATGTACCCAAGAACAGCATTTGTAAAGGTTAAAAACACATTTTCGAAGGACCAATTTTAATGGTTCTTTATGGCTTTTTTGGATAAAGCAAGACGGCAAAGCGCGCAGAGCGACATTTTCAACTATTTAGCGTATAATATAACATTTTGGATAAGTTGTCTACTTTTAAAATTGTATGTAACAAGTAAAAATAAGCGTTAACGACCCTATAAAGTATTATATATACACTTTTAATCAGGATCCGTAGCCGAGTCAATCTAGCCAATCGACGTATAATCGTCGAGATATTTTAAACTAGAGAGGTACGAGATTTGGGATTTGACATGCAGATTCAAGTTAAGCCTACGCAGCACAAGTTTCTTTCAAAACGTGCCCCGCCCACTCTTACTCCCACAGATCTCGAAAGTCTGTCATGTCTTTCAGAAACAGGTTAGACCTCAGTTATAAGGTTGAGTGTGTGTGTTTTAGTCATATTTATCGGTACACGCAAAAACTTTCAAGTCTGGCTACTACTTTAGAAGTTATTGAGTTAGTAAGCACTATTCTATACTCATAAAATAGGGTTATATAGAGAGACAGAGTGAAAGCACTGTTAGGGGGGGTGGGGGTGTTGCACGCTCTTAGCTTTAAGTTTTGTCAATGCCAGTTTTTTGTATATATTCTTAAAGTTAATACTATATAATTTTGAAGTTTAAAAAAAGAAAAAAAATTTTTTTTTAATTTTTACAAATTTTTAATGTAAAAGACAGATCAGATATTATTATTTATATTATTACAATACAAAGTGCGGATGAACGACAATTCTTGGTTTGTGAATTTAAAGGAATTATTAAATGTTTTCAATGTTAAAAAATTTAAAGCTGATGGTGTTATAAGTTTGTATCGCAGTGAAGGAGAAATCTGCGACCCTATAAAGTATATATATTCTTGATCAGCATAAAAAGGATTGTCGATCTAGTCGTGTCTGTCTGTCCGTCTGCAAGGGAATATATACTTCGGCTTGTCGATGTTTGATTTCTTTCTTGTTCTTCAATTGATTAAAATGTACCTCCGATATATAGTAACAGTTTTTTAATTTGGATTTCGCTTTTAGTTTTATTAAAATCGGACTACGATATAGTACGGCCGAAAATTTAATCGTCAAATCATCATAGCTGTTGTTTAACATATAGGTAAACAAATCGGAATATAGTTGTATATTTAATTTTTGAAATAGCTGCACGGATATGTAAAGGGTTTGCGCCATTTCTTGTTTTTTGTAAGTTTACATTTGGTTTAAACACAGCTACTTCGATAAATTTTTTACAATTAGCGGAATGGCGTCATATCGATATGTCATCGATTTAAATTGCGCTCTATTTGTTATTTTGGTGCTTATTGTAAGGATATTTTAGAAACAATGTGCTTATTTTCGTTATCAAACACTGCGATTTAAAATGTTAATCATTTTCCTTATTTTTATCAATTCCGATTCCCCGCCGTTTTTGAAGATTGCAACGCTTAACGCTTATATCGGAGCTAAGTCCAGAGCGAACATTTTATCCTTGACTCAAACCCCCATGCAGACAGTCGATACCGGCCATGACGAAAACCAACATTCTTTGTAGTTCGCTCAAGCGGCACCGGCGTTGCGTCGAACCCAATCAAACGCGGGAGAGCGAAAAGTACTCTTTCTGTTAAGAGCCGTCTGTTGCTAACAGACTGTACGAAATCTATTTAAGCAACTCGCAAAACGCGCTCTTTGTTATTGCACGATTTCACTCGGTTCCCCGTAAAAACCCAACAAAATGGCTAGTTGACTAAAAAGTATAACAATATAAGTATATTTTTTTAGAAAGAAAATATAGTTTTTTTGTATTTCCATAAATTTTCTGCATGGTGCAGATCGTTGCGTTTTGTTGTCGGATATATTTTTTGTGCGGTAAGAGTGTGTGAGTTAATTTAGAGTAAAAACATTGCCTTTTGTTGTCGTTGTGGTTGTTGTTTGTGGCCATCGCCAAGGTATCGGAAGCCCCAAATTAGTCGATTGTTTAATTCTCTTTCGCGAGCGCGTATTCTTTGCTGTGCACGTGTACGTGTGAATTCCTGCTTCTAATTGCCGCCCGTCCCGTCTCCCACTAAAATCCAGGTGAGTTTTGCCATGGCCGAAGGCATTTTCCAGCTGCTACACCTCCGATTCGGGCGATATTAGTCATCATGCAGCCGCGGTGGATTTAATTAAAAAAGTGGCGGCAGTGTCTCCGTCTCCTGTTTCCCGCCGCACCCATTCTCAGCGGCAGCGCAGGCGGTGCCGAAGAGAACCTGACGCGGAAGCAACAGCCAACTAAGAGAGTCGAAAGGAAGGAAGAGAGCGTAAGAGTTCACACGTGTCCCACAGCGGCTAAGTGAGAGCACAGAGACGTAGGCGCCCTTCAAAGGGGGATCTAAACGCCCTTTAAAATAGTGGTTGCTTTAAAATTAAATTCAATTAAAACGATTAGCCGATGCCCTACTCTTGTCTTTGTTAAATCAATAAAATCATGTTCAATTGATGAAGTTAATTGATGAAGTTGGACAGATTACAAACTGAGGATCTTAACTGAAATCGAGAAACTCTTAATTTTTTAGCATTTTCATTGCACTTACAATTAAATGGGTCGGTTTTGCCCAATCTTCTGCAAAACATCTGAATCAAAGAGATCTTGGGAATTTCCTAAATTAACGACAAAATCGTCGAGTTTGTAGTTTGCAAGCTGTTTTATACAAATTCAACCTTGAGAATTGTCAACAATTCATCAACCTCTAGGCCGAGTCGCCATCTATTTGTCCATCGATTTGGCAACTTTGAATTGTACTACATAGTATCGCAGCACAAAATTGCTTAAAAAGAAATTATTATTCATTGCTTACTAATAGTTGTAAATATTAGTTTCCAAAATAAATTCCATAAAATTAAACGTTTCAGACGAAAAGGAAATAGGGTGTTCATAAATTTGGCCCAAAAATGTCCGATAAATGACTTTGGGTATATGGATAAGGACAAAAGATTATCAATCTTTTGTTCCTATTTCACATACCATTAAAAGCTATTACTATGAATGTAAATTTAAATGCCTTTTAGTGATCGTTATTTCTAAGGGAAAAGGGTACACCATAGTCGTTAAAACAACGGTCAGCATGTTCTTAAAAAAAAATGATAATGATATTATTTTAGAATATTTCGGTTTTGCACCAGAGGACATACATATTTACTTAATAACTTCTAAAATAATAGTTTAATGAAGTTATTAGAAAGGTTTTATAATTTTCGAGATCTCGAGGTTCATACGGATGGAAAGACAGATGGAATTGAATTTTGTCCTGTTCATGAATTTATAGACTTATAGGGAGTAACGGGTATAAAAACTTGGCTAGCCGATTTGGGTTATAGCCTTAACAAAAATTAACTTTGATTTTTTAAGGAAAATTTTGATTTGCACCTTAAGCACCTTAAGGCATTTACCATTTGAGGTGTCGGATGTTCTCCTGGAATACATTTAAAAGCGAAATCGAGTCCCCTAAATGGTAAACACTAGAAAGGTGCTTAAAGTTAAATGTTGAATTATGCAGAACAAGTGAGTTTAAAATCGCAAATGTAGAACGAACCGCCATAGGTCTTTAAAACTTAATTAAAAGAAAAGAAAAACAATGCAAAAATTGTAGAATAGTAAATGCTTGATTGCCAAAAAATCAACTGTAGCAGTAGGGCGTCTGAAAGTTGTTGTCTTCGGGTTTCCGTAATATTTATTGTAAGTAGGTTTCATGAAGGTCAGTTCCATCCAAAGATGGGTCGCTCGACAATGTTTCGAAAATGTACGCCATAGGCGTTTTGCTGCAATTTTGTTTCGTTTCGTTTCGTTTAGTTTCGTTTTGTTTTGTTTGGTTTTCTTTCATTTGTTTTCGGCTTTGTTTGATTTGGAGTGCGACACCACTGCCTATGTCAGTCAATCAAGAAAGTTTCACCTGTCCGGGCAATGCGGAAACGTCGAGAAATACTGTTGCATTCGCATTTTTTCAGGTTTTTTGTAGGGTCAGCAAGCCAATGCGCTAAATACTTCGATCACCAACCATCTCGAGAATGTGTCGTGACATTAATTAACGCTGGATTGTGGATGGTGGTCTGAGAAAACAGAACCTGAGGCTACTTATCGAGTCAAGGGCTTTCGTCTATGCAAATGGTTTGTAAATGTGCAGTTTTAAAGTGCTAATTGATCACTTTGCACCTTGGCCCCTTGGCCCCTTGGGCGTAGGTAATTGTTAGGCCTTTGCTGGCGCGACTAAGGCGACTGGCTAAGAGCAAAGTAAACAGAATCAATTGCTCGATTGCTGAGGAAACAAATCAAAGCCAAATTTGGATCCCCTCTCATTTCAAGGCAGCCGCAGTCCGTAGATGTGAAGATTGTGGCAGAACCCGCAGCTTATCGTCGTGCTCTGAAGAAGCCGTATGAGAAGAGATACATACATATGTATGTATATCTGCTGGCTGAATGGTCACACCCACGAGCATACGCGTGTTTATCGGCCCCGAAAGAAATTTCATTTCGATGCGTCCAAAGTCCGAGAGAATTTTGGCCATACGGATTTGAATAGCGTATGTGTTGGTTCGCCGGTTCGCCTGTTCGCTAATATACGTTTTAGTGGCGCATGCTTAATAGGCACTTTTTGGGCACTGTCATTATGCTGAAAGTTCTTTAACCGGTTTGGCCTACCGGCAAGATGAACAATGGGCTCGGATGCTCTCTGGCCCACTGAAAGTCTCGCGTTTGGCAAGCTCGAAACCGATGACTTTACTATATTCAATATTGGATGTTCCCAGTGGGCAGTC